TCTAAGCTGGTCTCAAGTAATCATCCCACCTCAGCCTCTCAAAAGTGTTGGGATTATAGGCATGCGCCACCATGCCCGGCCCCCTACCTCCAGAGTGCTATGAACGCTGGCTGCAGAATCATTCGCAGCACAGTATTATTGTTTAGAAAGAAACCAAAGCTAGAGTTTACATAGAACTTCCACTTTGCCTGTGTGAATTGAAAGGTATTTTCTGTGGCTAAGATACAGTTTGGGAGCATGGAATTGGTAAATTTCTCATTTTATAGTCAAAATTTGTCAACTTCAAATGAAAGAAAGCTATTTATAAATGTCAGCTAATACAGTCTGCCAGAGGGCTTGAGGCTTGTGGAGAAACCTTTGTCTTAGCTTCGCAGAAGCAGTTGGGCATTTTGCCCGGGAGTGAGGACCAGTGTCTTAAGTGCGTGCTATGGAGAGGCTTGTGCACGACAGACATCCAAGTCTGAGACAGATAAAGCGGCAGCAACTCAGAAGGATCCTCTAAGACATTAGGTGAAGCCCAGAGACTGTTTAGAAAACTCTTCTGTGGCACATCTAGCCCCAAAATGTTGTTATTAACGAGCCCACTGCTACCGTCTTTAAATGACAGACTTCTGCCAACATTCGGAAAAATCAAGGCTCCAAGAGCCTTTGTCATGCAGTGCTTGTTGACTTTTGAGAGTTATTTTTTATTTTCATTTTGGTTGTTAACACTGTTTTTTCTAAAGCTTACTTCTTGGTTGCAAACACTGTTTTTCTAAAGCTCTTGCATAAAAACTACCTGTTGTAGGAGTAGAAAGAGGTTATAGGTTGTGTTGATTGATTGCCTGGATTGTTTTCTATGCCACAGACTGGAGATTTAGGTTCATTTGTGGGACAGTCAGAACTCAGAATGCCGAGGATACACCTGGAACTAGCTAATCTTGCCTTGGCCAGAAGAGCCCAGTGACAACAGCTCACCCAGATCAAGCACACCCTGCAAGTCAGGCAGCACTTTCTATGCGCTAATGCCTTTATTATTTATAACAGCCCTTGAAAGTAGAAACTACCTATCCATTAGTAAATAGATACCCAGCTCAGTAGAAACTACAAATGGAAAACCAGAGCACAGAGAGGTTAGGTAACTTGCCCAAATTCACACTGCTAGTAAAATGTTTCATGGTTCATTTTATTGATTGCAGTGCATCCATTTGGGCTCGCAATAAATTTCTTTATTAATCAATAGGAGAGAGGACAGGAACCCTGGAGATGAAAGGCCAATCAGGAAACTGTTCACAGAATGAGTAAGGTGGTGAGGGCCTGGGCCCAGGCAGGAGCTGTGGAGGTGGTGGGTCAGGGGTGGATGGGAAGAGGCAGCAGCAGAGCTGCTACAGAGAAAACATTCAGGAGACAGGGTTGATGTTGGACATGAGCAGGTGGCAGAGAGAAGGGAAGTTAGAATGATTCCTGGTACCCAGCATGCCCATCTGGATAGATTGGTGGTGCCATGAATCAAGGCAGGGTGTGCAAAAGGAGGAGCAGGTTTGGGGAGAAGAGTTAGTTCAGTTTGTAATGTTTGAGTTTTCGATACCTGCGATACATCCACATTACAATTAAGATTTAATAGGTAAATGGATACCCAGATCTGGAGCTCAAGAGAGGACTGGGCTGAGTATAGAATTTGTGAGTCACCAGCAGACAGGTGGAAGCTGGAGCCATGAGACTAGATGAGAGCACTCAGCTGGGAGATGAGGATAGAGGTGCCAAATGAAGGCCACCATATCAAGTGCAGGCAGAGGAGGAGGAGCAGAAGAAGCTGAAAAGGACTCGGCAGAGAGGTCGGAGGGAGCAGGTAGAAGCTGGTGGCACAGAGGCTGAGGGAAAGTGTGCAGAGGAGAGGCCCAGCGCAGCAGATCTCCGCAAAGAACCAAGTGAAATGAGTGTCAAGGCGTTTCGCAGTCGGGATGCCATGGGTGGCCTTAGCAAGAGCAATTTGGGCGGAGTGAGTGGGACAGAAGGAATAAAAACCGTGGCTTGAGGGTAAGAGGAAAATAGGCTTGGAGGAGCACAGAATAGAAGATGGACAGATGCCTGCTTACAAAGTTCAAATTATTGGATTCCTACACTCTGTATTACATTCTTTTCCATCTTTCTACAGAGCCTCCCAAATGATCATTTTAATGACTTTACTATGATCATAGGTAACATTTAATGAATACCTTCTATGAGACAAGTACCTAACTTCAATATTTAATTTTAAGTCTTACAGCAAGTCTGTAGAGTAGACAGTGTTATTATCTCCACTTTAAATATGAGAAAAGTAAGGCTTGGGGAGATGAAACTACTCATCTAACCTGTAGAGCTGGTGAAAAGGAGACTCACAGTACAAACTGGGGCAGCCTGGCTTCGGTCACTTTGTGCTTAAACACTACACCATAGGGTGACCTGTTGCCACAAAGAAACATCATTTTCTACTCATTCTCCTGGTATTATACATCTAGGTGGTTTCTGCTCTTTTGCTATGCATGTAACTTTTAATTTCTGCTGAGTTAATTAATGTGTTTCTTCAACAGCCCAGTGTTCTTCTTTCTGCCCCATCTCATTGCTCATTTGTCGCAGAGTTGAGTGATTAGCACACACAGCTCTGTGGGTGGGCTGATTGACAAAGCCAAATTCTGGGATCCCTCTCCTTCTGAAAAACAGGGGAAAGAAAAAAGAGGCATTCATCCAGGAAACCCACCTGGTTATATCCTGAAATATAAATGCTTATCCAAAAGAACCTTAAAGGAAAACATTTAGCTGGTGATTGAAACGGCTTAATACAGAAAATCATGCTGCACACAGCAGCATTTCTATCCAGCATTCTAAAATCATTTCAAAATATTTTTCAAGGCTTTTGTAAATTCCTTGCCAAAATAGATGAGAAACACTACACTTGGCAAGACAAAGTTTAACCCACAAGAACTCAAACAACAGTTTATAAAGATTAAAGAACACAATTTTATATGTGTATATAACCCACCAGAAAATCATTTCAGAACATGAAATCTTCGAGATGATTCTTAACACTGCCCCTATATAAATGCTTTGTGTCCAGGAACTTAAACTCTGTACACTCCTCCAGCCTTCCCAGCACTGTCATTCAAAGACCCCTGCAAGATCAGGATTTTCAAATGTTCCTAAGGCTTGGGTAGGAAATACGTTTTACATTTTGGCCCAGTTTATGCCCACACATGTGTGCACACACAGTCATACATACACCCATACACATTTAACTGAAACAAATTTTTCACAAAACAATACTTGTCCTCACCATGTGCAATTAATATTTTCTCTTCTATTCTATTTCTTAAAAGTTCTGGTCCCATACAAAATTGATTTCATGAGGGCTTAAAGGGTTGCAACCCACAGCTGAGAAGCCCTGTGTTCTAAAGGATCTAAATTAAAGCGCTCTCACCAAAAGATCTGCATGAGGAAGAATCTGCAGTTGGTGTAATAGAAAGCATATGTGATTTGGAATTAGAGAGACATGGGTTCCAATCTCAACTCTCCAGTTTACAAACCATCTGCCTTTGGGCAAGTTACTTGATCTCTCTTTGCCCCTCCATTTCCTCTCCACAGGCCTCTGGGACTGCTGGGACAATTCAACTAGAGGACACTCATGGAAGCACCTACCACTTAGAATCATTCATTCATCCAACAAACATATATTGAGCACCAGATGTTGTCCTAAGGGCTAGTCAGATAGAAGTGAACAAAACCATCAACACCCCTGCTTTCATGGAGCTGGCATTCCAGGGGGCACAGACAATCAGCAAATTAACATAGAATATATCAAGGAGTGAGAAGGACTGTATTAGTTTCCTCTTGTCACTGGGATGAATTACCACAAACTTAAAGGTTTAATCAACACAAATCTATTATCTTACAGTTTCAGATGTCATAAGCCCCAAACGGGTCTCACTAGACTAAAATCAAGGTGTTGGCAGAGCTGTTTTCCTTTCGGAGACTCCAGAGGAGAATTTCCTTGTCTTTTATAGATGCTAGAGGCTGCCCACACCCACTGGTTTATGACCACCCTGCATTTCCACAGTCAGCAACATTGGGTTGAGTCCGTCTCACACCTAATCACTGTGACTCTGCTTCTATCCACACATCTCCTTCTCTGGATTTGACCCTCCTGCCAAAAACCACCGTGGGTCCTCTAGGAAGGACCCATGTAGTTAGACTGAGCCCACCGGATAGTCCAGGATACTCTCCCCATCTCCACATCCTTACCTTAATCACATCTGCAAACTCCTTTCTGCCATGTAAGGTAACATATTCATAGGTTCCAGGGAATATAAATAAGAGTCACCTGGAGGGGTGTTGTTGGTCATCAGCTGTGAAAGCCTTGGTGCTGACATACTCACTCTTCTCCGTTTCAGCCAGTTACATACAACCCCAAAGGGACTGTGGTTTTGGTCATCTGTAATGCTTGGTAATTTGTCTCTCGAGCCCAGGCTTCTGAGCAAGTTACAGCTACTGAGTGAGCCTAGCAGACAACCAGGGATGTGCATTCCAGGGGCCTTTAATTGGTTTTGCCCTGTTGACACTTAACGTTTAGTAATTTTCCAGAATATGTCATTACTGTCTTTACTAATGAGCTCTGGGCACCAAGTGGGAAGAAAAAACTTTAGTGAAATTTGGAAAGATTGACTTGTGGTATGAGGATATGCCCAGAAATGTGATAAAGACAAAAGCCCAAAGCTTGAATGAAGTTACGTTTGCAAACTTGGGACTGCACTCAGACCTCAGGGTGCGTCCTTCACAAGCATCAGAGTCTTCTGTGTGTCTCTTCTCCTCCATTCACGAAGCTCCAGTTTTGAATCAAGGGACTGCAAAGTCACTAATCCCATCATGACCATATTGACAGTGTTGTGTTGTTCACGTGACTGAAGAAGCACGGAAAGTTCTGTGTGCCTACGGTGGCTAGCCACAGGTCAGATTTCATATGTAATCTTGGTGCATTTGTTTTATTTCAGGGAAAACTCGATGCCTTGTGGGTCCTACTGAGGAAAGGATATGATCGTGTGTCTGTGATGCGTCCACAGCCAGGAGACACGGTAGGACTCGTTAATTCATGAATGGTCTCTCTCTCTCTCACACACACACACACACACACACACATTCTTTTTCTCTCTCCATCTTTGTAGAGCTAGAATAACTTTGGATTCTAAAACAGAGCTAGAATAACTCCAGATATACAAATCCAGCTATTATTTCATGTTGCAACAAATCAGACATCACTTTTCAAAATGTTGGTTATTACAAGATCTTGAGTTTCAATTTGCTTTTCTGTAAAGGACTTGACAGTGATCTGTTGGGTGTAACTTCCTAGAATTTGAGTTTCTCAATGTATAGGCACAGTGAGAGAATAAAACAGGACTGGCCCCTACTTGGGGCAGTTTCAGAAGGGAGCTCTGCTGGCCACTGGCCACACAAGCCAGTGGTGTACCACAGAGTACCAGCACTGCAAGGATGGGGTGAGGGCAAGGAAGGGGCCACGGAAAACGCCTACCATCTTCCCAGCAGGTGTTGGGCCCAGCTGGCCCAGGACCACAGAGGGACCTTTCACCCCAGGTGAGGAGTTGTCTTAGCATTGTCAAGGCTAAGCTTGGAATATCTCTAGTCAAGAGCAGTCCTGAAAGGTAGAGCCAGCGGAGACCTTAGAAACCATCCAGCCCATGGCTTCATTTTGTAAATGAAGAAAGAAAAACAAACAAAAACAAAAATCACCTAATTGCATTCTCTGAAAAACAAGAGAAGGTGAATAGCTTGTTCTGTTTCAAATAGTAAGTAACAAGTAACTTACACTGGAAATAACTTCAGTTGTGCCGAAACAACACTATCACTATTTCTTCATGTAAGAGCTAGTCTCTCTTCTGCAAGTTTTACGGATCACAACTCGGGACCAAGTTTTCCCTCAACTACCAGCAACCTACATCTTCCATCCACTTCTTTGGGAATCAGTCACATTAATCCAAAAGCAAAATAAAAGTATCTCATTTAGAACTCCTTTCAAATCAAGCAGACTTGGGTTTGAACCCCCTTCCTTCCTGGCTAGAAAGCTCCAGGCAAATCACCTGACCTCTCTGAACTTCATCCTTATAAAGTAGATGGCATGGACTTCTTCCTACTGTGGCTGGTTGGAGAAGGTAATGTTTGTAAAGCATTTGGCTCCCTGCTGAACATATGGAAATACTCAATCGGAATGGGCGTGGTGGCTCAGACCTGTAATCCCAGCACTTTGGGAGGCCAAGGCAGGTAGATCACTTGAGGCCAGGAGTTCTAGACCAGCCTGGTCAATATGGTTAAACCCCATCTCTACTAACAATACAAAAATTAGCTAGGTGTGGTGTCACATGCCTGTAATCCCAGCTACTCAGGAGACTGAAGCAGGATAATTGCTTGAACCCAGGAGGTGAAGGTTGCAGTGAGCCGAGATCACACCATTGCACTCCAGCCTGGGCAACAGAATGAGACTGTGTCTCAAAAAATAAAATTTTTTTAAGAAAGAAATGCTCGGACTGGGTGTGGTGGCTCACACTGGTAATCCCAGCACTTTGGGAGGCCAAGGCAGATGGATCACAAGATCAAGAGATCGAGACCATCCTGGCCAACATGGTGAAACCCTGTCTCTACTAAAAATACAAAACTTAACTGGGCGTGGTGGTGGGCACTGTAGTCCCAGCTAACTTGAACCCAGGAGGCAGAGCTTGCAGTGAGCCGAGATTGCACCACTGCACTCCAGCCTGGTGACAGAGCAAGACTCCGTCTCAAAACAAAAAAAAAAAAAGAAATGCTCAATTGATGACAGATATCCTTATGGTTATTTACTTTGTGCTGTTCTGCTGTCTGGGGATGGCTGATGCAGAACTTCAAGCCATATTGCAGTTGGTGTGTTTGCTTTCCTGACTGTCCAGCATGGCACAGCTAACACTAGAGCAGAGCCCGATAGACAGGCCCTGCTACCTCCTCCCCTTGCACCTGGTGACAGTGGGTGGTTTGTAGCTGAGGAGATTTGGTCTAAAGTTTCATAGTTTATGTGAGCCACTGCCCAATTAGCTGTTCCAGTTGTGACTAGGACGGCATGCAAGTAAAAATGTGAAACCACCTCATATAAATGCTGGGCTGACTTGGCCCTCATTGCATATGGAATTTGAGCTTTTGTCTGTGACAGTCAACAAGACCAAATTTCTATACGAAATTTTAAATACAAACTCTTCAGTTAGGAGAAACAAGCACAGGCCATAAAGTTAGTACTCTGGGAGGTGTTTGGTCTTATGAAGTATACATCTGCTTTCTATGGAAAATGAAGAAATTTTTTTAGCATGCATGAGACTCCTCTAACAGATTAAGAAAAAATAATAATAAGATCCCTAAACTAAGTTTCAGTAGTACTATTTTTTGTGAGAGAAGATGCTGATACAGTGTATGACCCCATTTTTTTTTTCAGAGCAATTGAAAAACATCTCCACTAAAATATGTTAACATTCCATTTTCCACTGACCAGTTTGGCAGAAGCCAATTCATAAACTGGGTCAACCTAAGAAGTGGGAGGGTTATAGGAAAGAGGCTGGATAGAAAGAAATATTTTCGTTTATAAGACAGAAGAATCAATGCTGTTTGGGAGCAAAAGGCTGGTTATGTAAATCCAAGAACAATGAAGTGAAAATAAATTTTCTAATGAATCACACCTAAATTGAATCTCTTATTTACCAATTCTGAATGAAAGTTTGTAGTAACACCTGAAGATGTTCCATATGTTTTTGAGAGACATAGTACCACCTTGAACTTTTATTCTCCAGCCATGCAAAGTAATAGATTTAAGATATAAGAAGCTTAAGAATTTGGATACCTTTGAACATACTCTCAACACTGTCACAAATTATGATTATCCAGTTTACTTTTAAGTGCCCTTTCTTTATGGAAGTCTTGCTAAAATAAGATACACGAGAGAAATAGATACAGAAAATTGTGTCCTTGTTGCCATGGCAACAACCACAGGATGTACACATGGAGTTATGCAAGAAAGGTCACAGATGAAGTAAGAACCAGAATTCAGAGCTGCCTATGGCTACTCAAGAAAGAATTCCGGAGGGGGGGGCCAATATTGTAGCTTTGTCTACATGCTTCTCCTGTTTTGTTTTGCATAACCTTAGGAGACTCACTAGAGAGGCCTGCGTTGCTTGCATGGTGGTGAGTCTGTAAGAATTCTTCGGCACTGATTTATGGAGCTGACCACATTTTCCATAAACTCAAAATGACTCCATCCAGGCATGTGCTCATGAACAAGAGTCACAGGTTCTGAATTTTTTCTTCAAAACAAAACAAAAACAAAAATCACCTAATTGCATTCTCGGTTACATTCTAAGTTGCTTCAAACACATGTTGACCTCACAGAAACCTGGCACATTTTCCTCCTCAGTTCCTGTCTCCTTCGTCCTCCCCCCAGCTACTCCACCCCAGCCCTCCAGATGCAGACACAAGCCCACCAACAGAGCCTCTGAAGCTACTGAAAGGCCTCCAGCTCAGCACAGAGCAGGAGCTCAGGGAGCCAGAGCCCAGAGCCACCGCCCTTCCCTGGGATTGGCACCCACCTCTTCAGAGCCATCCAAGCCCCAGGTCAGGGATGGCAGCAGGAAACACGAATGTTTTCCATCTGCCATCATCCGTCTCCTTCTCTTTGCCTGTGGTGGGCTCATGGTCCCATTGTTCCTTGGAGCCCACCAGGAAATGCTTGAGCCAACATAAAAGAGAAAGTGCCAAAGGAAACCACCTAAATAGCAAACCAGCAGCACATCTGATTCTAAGATTGTTAAAGTTTACTAAGCACATGGCGTCCCCAGCTCCCAGTAGGTAGCTACCACAGTGCTCCTTGTAAAACCAAACCTCAACACACCATGCCTCCACTTCAGACTTGCAAAAACTGTGGGAAAACCCAGAATCCTTGGCTTGATTTAGAAAGGCATGCCTTTCCATTTCATACACTACTTACCCCAGATTCCCTCATCACCTCCAAATAGGCTCTGAGCACATGGAATTAATTGCTGGGCACGCCCTGAACATGCCAGGACATTTTGTGTCTCCATACCTTTGCTAGGTTTCTCTGCTTGGAATGCCTTTCCCGTCCTCTCTACTGAGTGAACCTAGCTTGGTAATATTGTCCATTGTTCCCGAGGTGTCTTGTAAATACAAAAAGTTGCTGACCACACTCATGCTTGAAAGGGGGCATCACTAAAGCAGAACACGTTCAACAGAGCCTAGGTGAGAAGGTTTGGAAGTTAGAACCTCTGTCCCAGGATGGTCCAGGATGGTCCCCAAGGCTTCCTACACAGCTTGGCCACTCTTTGAGTTCAGAAAATTTGCTCATCTTTTCAAGGGCAAATGGTTGAAAGAATATAGAATGTTCTGGGAAAGAACGCTTCAAGGGGTCATGAGAGCTTTTTAACTTACTTGGTCCATGATGATATGGTGTGTCATCCCACTTTGTAAGCTGTTTCTTATCACGTTACCATTGTCAAGGAATAATCTTTCCATGTCACTACATATCCTTGAATAATATCATTTTAATGACCATGTCCTATTCCATTGCATATCTTCCCTTTTTGGTGGTTGATTTTCAAGTATCTATTATTATAAATGAAGCTGCAGTCAGTATCCTTATTGCCAAATCATTGTGCACATTCACAAATGTTTCCTTAGAATAAAAGGTCCAGCTTTCTACTGGATCAAATAGTGTGCACATTTTTAAAGTTTTGATAAAAATTGCCAAAGAATTGCCCTTCAAAAGATTGTACAAATTAACCCTCACATTATCCCCTATGGAACGCCCATCTCCCCAGATGCTCCCCAATATTATTAACTTACCTATTTGATTGACAGGTGCTAATTTAACTTGTATTTTTTATTATTATTGAGGTGGAACAATTTTTTAAATGTTTATTTTCTCATTTGTCCATTGGTTTGACTTGGCTCATTTTTCCACTGGATATTTTAGTGTTGGTTTCCTGTGATAATTTTCTTAACCCACCTTCATTCATACATTAATCAAATGTTTTGA